CCCGGGCCGCCCCACGCGTTGCCCCTCTTCGCCCTCGACAGCCGGCTGACAGCGCTAACGTGAAAACTGAGCTGATGAAGGATGACGCCGGTGAGCCAGCACAGGTGAAACAGCAAATCCTGATTGCCTCCTGTCACACACCATCACATCAGCTCCGCAGCGGAAAAGCAAGACGGTACCAGGCACAGTAGTGCCAGGAAACACATCACCTTGATGAAGGGTTTAAGGGTTTAGGCGCTGCTCGGTGTCCCAGAGGATAACTCCAACAGGTAGGATGCACCAGAGAGGCATCAGCCGAGTTTTGGGGTGTCAGTACGGCTGCCGTGGAAGCCTTGACAGGGGACACCGCTCCCTCCCCGACAGCGTCATAGTGCGTGGGTCTCGGCGACTGACGCGCAAAACAAGTTGAGTCACATCCCAAAGCCCCCGAGACACACCAGTAACGCCAACTCACGGACGCCAGCACTGTCGGAGAGCGAAATCCGAGACACGTGTTGCTTTCCATCAACGAGGTGAACCGAGCCGCAGCAGCGCCAACACCCCGACCTCACCCACACGCATGTCTCCAGCCCGCTCTGGCAAAACCCCCAGCGCTCAGGGAAGGGCTCTCCGGCGGGACAGCACGGCGGGGAACCGTGGGACTGACCACCCCGGAGCCAAAGAGGAGGAAGCAAGAGCTCCACAGGTTGTACCCAGGGCTGGGGTGACCTGAGCAGCCCCAGAAGAACAGGTCTGGAACGACCCGAGAGCTGGGGGGACCCAGAGAAGGGCAGCTCTGCCGGGGAAAGAAGCCAGGAGGGCACTCATCACGGCTGATGTTCAGACAAAACTGTTTTCTGCTTCTTTTTGGTCCCCCTGGACAATTTGTATCAGAACCTAAGGTTTGCATTGTTGGTTTTTTTGTAAACATTAGGAAGATGCGAAAAATCAGTCAGCCGTTCCTCTGTCTGAGCACGGACCCAGAGAAGGGCAGCTCTGCCGGGTAAAGAAGCCAGGAGGGCACTCATCACGGCTGATGTTCAGACAAAACTGTTTTCTGCTTCTTTTTGGTCCCCCTGGACAATTTGTATCAGAACCTAAGGTTTGCATTGTTGGTTTTTTTGTAAACATTAGGAAGATGCGAAAAATCAGTCAGCCGTTCCTCTGTCTGAGCACGAGAGCGGTTAACGTGGAGGTTTTAGAGACAAAACCATCACCACTAATGGCAGTAAAGGTTGTGACAAGCCTCAGGGTGACAGCAGATCCCAGAAGCAGAAAGCTGTACGCTACGGAAACTGCTCCTCCTTCAGGCTCCGTGAGAAAAATAGTTTCAGGAAAGCCATGGGATGCCTCAGAAGTGTCTCTAAATCGAGTCACCGAGTACCTCAGCAATGGCAATAATAACCAGAATTCTTAAGGGGGCACTGGGGGCAAGGGCCGCACCGGGCAGGCTTCAGCTTTGTAACAACAGCTTATGGGTTGGGTCTGAGTGGTCCTACTCGATCTCCACCCAGGATTACAGAAAACAGATAAACACACACACCAAAAAAAAATACGTTAAAGGATAATCTTTAAATACATTTTAGCACATGAAAATATAAGGTTGCGTAAAGCAGCCACAGCTGCTCCAGAATCTGTTCTTAGGGACAGGGAAGAGGGGACACGGGGCAAATACGGTCGGGACAGAGCGCGGGTGTGCTCCACACAGCGCTGGAAGCGGCGCCCGGCGCTGGCCGAGGGAAGGGGGGCCTGCCGATGCCCAACCGTTACCTCACAAACCCGTAACAGGATTTATGCCATGACAGCACTCCACGACGTCGCTCGACTACGCTCACGTTGTGTCAGCACTGAGACCCCAAAACCATGATGACCAGAACGGGTCATTATCCCTGGCTTAAGAGTTGTGAATCCTAGAGTTAAGTCATAACATGACGCACGGCACGGAGGAAAACCAACGCTCCTCGTGAAGAAGGTGCTTTTATCTGAGGAGTGTTACTTCCAACAAGTAGAACTCCAACAGTCTGCACCTGCTTTTGGAGACCTACAAGGATTCCCGGTGCGTTTGTTGATTTGGAGAAAGAAGAAAGGAGATGGGAAGCTTGTGGCTCTCTCGGGGACTGCGGCACAAGGCGTGAGGTTACAACTACCCACTAGTTGGAAACTCAAGTCTCACCCAGAGGAAACGATGACAGCTTCTTACTTGCATTTAAAAAGCTTCTCAAAACTCAACCTGCTGAGGTAGCTTGTTTGGTGCTAGAGCTTCCCACTCAGACAGGAGCTTGGCCGAGCGCTGCAACATATTCCTCTGGCAAGAAGGAAGATAACATCGTCCCCATGTGTTGCCTGATCTAGTTGAGGTGGTGTCCCTGGCGACAAGGAGGCTGGATTCAAGTGATCTCTAAGGTCCCTTCCAGCCTGGGCCATTCTATGATCTACAACCCGCCAGGTACTCGGTTCAAAACCGAGATCAAAATCCAAGAGATGCTGGAGAAAGCAGGTTCTCCATCCAAACCACCACTCCCTCCAGTTCAAACAGAGGAGTGCCCAGCTGTAAGGAGACGTGGCTATCGAGGAGCATGTGCTCGGTGAGGTGACACAGGAACACCACTCCTGGGTTTTCAAAAGTTCCACCAGAAGGAAGGACAGAGGCACAGGCCATGCCAGGCAGGAAGGGAAGAAGATGAACAGCAACACCATCGTTCAGTGGGATTTGAAACCAGTTCCAAGCTAAGGAAAACCAGCTAGAGGGCGTTTACAGAAAGAGAGGTTTTACTCCAAAAGAACCGGGCAAAACGCCACCAAAACCTCCAAGTTATCTCTTGGTCCTGTTTGCAACCCAGTCTGTTCACACCAAAGCTCTCTGTGTCTCCAAGTGCTTCCCCCCGAGCACAAAAGCACTCTCACACCCAAATGAGCAACACTGCTTGTTTAGGGAAGTGTCTGCTGACGTACAGAAAGGGCACGGGAAGGGGAAGAGCAAAGCATCCACGGTTCACAGACAGGCCTGGCCAGACGTGAGCACAGACACGATTCTTTCTATCACCCAAGAGCATTTTCCCTCAAGGAGGAAAAAGGACACATAATTCTTTACAGGAGCACCCTGCTCAAGTTTTACTTCAGTCGCCTGAGAGTGTTTGCTCTGGTGTGAACCACAGGGAAGAGCTGCCACCAGCCCGACCCGGGCACAGAACCAAACGTGCTTCCCCGTCCATGCAGCTTCTAATTGTGCTTTTTGTCCCCTTTTTTCGAGCCAAATTACCTGGGCGACAGCTTCGGGATCCTCCTGATCAGCAGCGTGCCGCTCCAGGGAACTGCTCGGCGTAGGTCTGATGCTGTCAGCGCGCTGAAATGCAAACATCACGGGTTTAATATGGGGCGTGAAACAGCGAATTACCTGTCAGCAGAGAAATTAACTGGAAATGCTCTAAAGACCCTGCACAAGAGCAACCGAGAAAAGCTGCTTTAACAGAGCAAATATTTGTCTCTGGTCTAGCTAGGATATTTTCAATATATTTTCGGTAGCTGACTGAGTATACTGCATTTACAGAGATTTAAACAACGAAAAAACAGATCCCGAGGTTTTTTTCACTAGAATTTAGTAGTATATAGCACATTTGAGAGCGTATGGGCAAGCATTTCATGTGTCCTGTAGTCCAATCACACCGACTGGGGCCAAGCTATAAGGCACCGGTGACAGATTTTCCTTCCTAAGGAAAATAACCTGCTGTCGTGGTTTAACCTCGGCCAGCAACTAAACCCCGCACAGCCGCTCGCTCACTCTACATCCCAGTGGGATGGGGGAGAGAACAGGATGGGTAAAAGCAAGAAACCTCATGGGCTGAGATAAGAACAGTTTAATAATTGGAAGGAAAAAAAAAATAACAACGACAAATTGTAAGGCATCTAGGTCACACGCCCAGGTCTCTCGCTTCCCGACCCATCCCAGTTCACGAGCAGCACCTCTCCTGTCTTTTGGTACAGGTACAGCCCTACACCACGGGCCATCTGAAATGTCCTGTGAGTTCGTTCAGTCCGTGACCTCGGGCTCCACGTGCCACAACAGTCCTTCACGGCAGGCGAGCTGGTGTGTGGTGCTGGACTGCTGCACATTGAGGCCAGTTCTGGTTCCATCTAAATTACTTTGTCGTTACTGTAATACCGCTGATACTGCACACAGCAACCACAGCAGCGCTGGCCCGTGGTATTACAGGGCGATTATCACCACACAGCTCAAATCACCAGCTATTCTCACACAAAATCAAATCCCCTCGAGGTCCACGCTGGATTTCCCCAGGTCCTTGAGCAACAGCAATCCCGCCATGGGTTTGCCTCTGCCTGGGCCAGGAGTAACCAGGGCTGGCGTCCCCAGCCTGTGTTTTCTGTGCGCTGCAGGGACCTCACCCCGTTCTAGAGCACATAAACGTTCTGACTGAGCGAGCCCAGCTCGCCTGGCAGATCCTCCAGTGCTGACTAACCAAGTGGCTTTTGCTAAACGTGCACCCCAGTGTTCGGAGGTGCCACCTCCCATCGCTCTCAGTCTCGTCTTTAACAGTCCCTCCCATGGTTCAGTCTTCCTGGGGGCTGCTGCGTGACTGGGGATGTGACACCCCTGCTCGACACCATGCTCTTTGGCCCGGGTATCCACGAGATTATTTCAGAAATGAGTCCCTTGGTCTGATTCAATCCTTTCTGGGGTGCTGTCTTGCCATAAGACTTGCTTTCCAAGCCTCAGGACAGCATCCACCGTCAAGTCCTCCACCCCTCGATCACGAGGCCGCCTATACACTGCAGCCCTTCCTGGCTGGCCCCGGTGGGCCCACCGAGCTCTGAGTAACTCACCTTTATGTTGCCAAGCCAGAGCCACCTGAGCCACTTCACTCTCAGCAACCTGACCTACCTGGTGGCTGCTCTGATGTTCTTCGGTGGCCTGACTCTTGGGTACGTTCACAACCAGGTTCTCCCCCTGGGCAGCACTACCTTGTCACAAATGTCAAACCCCCAAGATGGGTTCCCCTCTGTGCTGCCGGTTGCTCTGCTCCCACGGCTGC